TATGACACATATGACATGGTCAATTAATTTGTATTCAAAATAACTTCAAATAATATAAATGAAGTTATTTCCATCATATATATTCACAACTATCAAATATGAATAATATATCATCCAGAAACTAATCATTGATATCATGTACTGAATATAAAATAAAGTATCTTTTTTATTAACTATTATATATGAGTAAGCAGTGTTATCAAATTGCGGCACCACGGCGCAATGGCGATATACATAGCAGTTTTCAGGCTTGCCGCAATGGTAAATACCACATGTTATTTCGGCGAGAATGATGTAGACCAAGATCCTCCATTTGACTTAGCCAATCCAGTCTCTGCTTGCTCTTGGTTCTTCTCATCTTTGCCTTAAATCTTGACTTTACCAACAGAGTCTATACTGTATTTTCAAAGTTCCCGATGGCCATTACGACCAACAGAAGACCACAAGATATTACCTGTCCGAAGAGTTACTATCATTATAAGGCTAGCCTTTGCAATAAACAATAGCACCGGAACCGAGTTCATTTTCATGTATTCCTAGTCAAAATTTGATAAGTAAAAAAGCTAGCAGGAGCATACCCGCCATTCAGAAATCTCTCCAGCAAATGCAGTATAGAGCAACAATAGTCCAAATCACAAATAGCTCAAAAAATTATAACCAAATCACACATAGCTCAAACAATTGTAACCAAAAGAGTAATTTTCCAAAAACTTGATTAACTAACATATGCAGTGTAATTACCTGCAATATGAAAAGTATGGGACACAGCAACCACAGTATGAAAAATAGTGCAGAAATATATGCCTCATGTTGCTGGATATTCAAACAATAATGGAAATTCTACATAGAACAATTAGAAACTAAAGAGTATAGGAATAAGAATCCTACATAGAACAATGTAAATTCAACAGTAGCATATGCTATGCTGCTTCTTACTCAACATGAAAATAGAGCATTCATTTCTTGATGCATGTAATAACTATGTTCATTTGATAGTTGAAAATGGGAGATAAAATGGATATGAAATAGCATTCGAAATAAATAGTTCAAAAGATTATCACAATGGCAAATGTGTTCACATGGCTGTCTAGAAATTTGACATGATGGCAAATTCAAAAACAAACGAAAAACCTACGTGTACAACTGTATATTCTGCTAGTATAAGGTGTCGTTGTTTTTCTTCATCAAAAACTCGGTATAAATTCTAGCTAATGCTGAGAGACAAGCAGATAGAATTCCTAACATGTAACCCTGAATTGGTGCTGAGAATAGGGAGTCACAGGAAGCCTCTCCACAACCCTTGACCTATACAATAATCATTATACACTCATGTCATTAGCATTTTTCATCATAGGGCTAATTATCCGAATATACATACCATAAAGAAAGAACAACATCTTTGTATGAAATGATAGAGAGAAATATTTTCAAAATTAATGTAAATGTGATGTAGCCACTTGGGACATTTATTCTTAATCGGTCTACTGGGGCTTCAAATCCCATGTATTCTAACATGCAAGTTGAGTGCAACTCTTAGGTCCAGTTCTCATGGTTACTTCAAGGAAATCTCAACTACTAAAATGCAAAGATATCAAAAGCCTTGTTGCATTTGTAAGACACTTTGTCACACTGTTTTATTTTCATTCTCAATGGAAGCCAATATCTGGTTGACATTATTTAAAAACCTCCTAATCTAAGAATGTGCTTCTCAAATTTTCATATTTGAAGGATCTTAGCAAGTTACGATTATCACTCTAGAACAAATCTTAAATTAACAACTTCTCAATGCAGTTAAGTATATTATGAGTTAATATCAGCTCACCAACACATTTACAATTATAAAAAAGAACAAATACCGTTAGGAGGAGAATGTCAACTGTAAAAGGAGTGCATATAGAGTGCCTTCCAGAAATCATTTTCGCTGAATGAAAACAAGACTATAAAATGCGAGACTTATCGAATGTAATGTACTCGAATCTACTGTATCAGAGCTATACAAACCTGTGCAAACATATAATTTTCGAGTTCACGATACAAAGCTAATACACAAGACACGATGCACAATACTGAGATATTTTCTTATAAAATACCCTAAAAGCCAGATAAATTAAACTGTGTATAAGAAACAGAACCTAATGTACGCAAGCGAACGCTTCTTCGTCACGCTGTGACCACACTAGGAGATGTATCCTCCAAAGAAGCCCCAAGGTCATGCATTAGGCCCTAAACTTCTTGTTATAGCAACAAACAAGGGTCATGCCGCCAAAAAGTAATAAACCTCGTTCATATGGTACTAAAAGGGTGAAAATGAAAAGTAAAAGAATTGTAACAACATACATTGAATTCGGTGTCGTGTTTTCGCACAAGTGCCTCTACATAGGTTCCCAAACCAGCATCTGCATAAAGAGCATAAACACAATTTAAGCTCAACTTTATTTTGCAATAAAACAGGTCTCGGTTTCTTACACTCTTAAGACATATATATTAAATTTTTTTGTATCTATATATATTAAAGTCGAACCCGAATTTCCTTCTGTGGAAAGATCTCACATTCACAAACATAGTCATTCGATCAAGATCAATCTTGGTCGAACAAACAAGATGTTTTGACTGTGTGAATGCAGGAAATGTCTTTCATTAGGAGAGTTTGGTCCATTAAGGGCATTATGGCGATAACCTAAAATTATTAATGTTGACTAGTATTGCAAGACTAGTCATCCCAATGGTGCACGATGTGGAATTCCCTTTCTTCTTTTGGTTATTCTGTAATTAACTAAAGTTGGTTGTGGTGTTGAAGGAGTGAAGCTTTGCACCTTGATGTTGTTCTTCAGTTTTCCATGTCGGCAACTGCTGCTGTATGAATCCTCTGAGTCTGATATCATGGTAGCTAACTTGTTCTTCTTCTGGAAACTCGTGGATGTTCCAAAAATCTAGAATTCATACCGCATTGATTAGTATTCAATACATATACTCAAAATTCAAAATTAGAATAAAAACGTTTCACAAAGTCAATGAAATTAAATTGAATTTGAATGCAAAATGGTCCATACTAGCCTTCACTATTGTACCAAAAGTCAACCCATTTTAAAAGATGAAAACATTGTGTTAAGCAATGTAACTACCTTGCAACCAAGAGAACAGAACCGGAATAAATCAAGAAGGCTCAGCTCGCAGACTTCACAAGTGTTGGTGACACCTTTGCCCGGCCTTAGCTAAGGCCTCTCATTCAAGAATACAACCCTAGCACTATTGATAATATAGATTTGAACTCCAGATATGTCCAACACCTTTTGAATCTCATTCACCCTAATCACATCATGGCACGAAGACCTCCTTATCTGTATCAAACACATAAAAACAGAGTTCATTAGAAACCAATAACCATGTTGTAGGAAGAAAAAGACTAAAACAATTATGTAAACACTGAATCCTGGCATAAAAATGACACTAACAAACTAATTGAATTAAGTGGTTGAGACAAACCTGAATAGCGCGATGATCTTTATGATAATTGAGGCAGAGAGAACAAAGAGCATCATTCATACAATCCAAACAGTACATGTTACACCTCACTTTTATGTGAATCAGTGTGCATCTTGCATTGAACAAAGAAACGCTTTTTCAGCAGAGGTTTCAACCATGGCGGCCATCTGTTTTCTTCATCATCATGTCCACCATCGCCCTTTACAAAAAAAACAATTTTTGAATCAAACCCATAACTCAAAAACACAAATATAACACAAAAGCACAACGAAACAGGACAGAACCAGGTAGCTAGGTTGCAGACAACAATCGTCTTGTATGTTAATTTTAAATTGTATCATGTTAATTTCACCTAAATCATATAGAAAAGCAATTAAATTCAATTGTGTTAAATAAGATATGGTTATTGAATTGAATTACTTTTTGATAAATAATTCAAAAAAATGAAGAGTTTGGGAATTAAAATGTGTAAAAAAACAAAAAAAATATGGCACACACACCTCATCACCCGCTGAAGCCTGAAGAATACCATCTGGTACAGAGGTTGGGAAAAAATGATGGCCCCAACTACTTAAATCTTCTTCCAATGGATTCCCTACCTGCAAAAAGAAGTTTAAGAAAGAGTCAAAACATTGTGTATAGTTGTATACCTTCAGTGTGCATAGATGAAATGAAGAGTTGAAAAGAAAGCATCCTACACAAAACAGAAGGCCCTGAATAGATAAACAGTTTTTATTTAACCAAATATATACACAACCTGATTTTATATTTACATGATTATGGTTTTATGATATATACAGTCTCACTACATTAGCCAAATATACTCCTAAAGCACACTATTGATGTATCTAAGGCAATTTCCATACGAAATTGTCAAGCTGGTGCAAGTGTAGCACAATTAGCATCATGATTAATTTACATGATATAATTCCAAACCACAATTAATGTGTGGCTAACCAGATACCACATTAAAGAGCCACCTCATAAGCAAAAGTTGAAGAAGATATTCACAGCAAAATTCTCTTCCATTTAGGAGTTAGGCCGGCCGTTTGGTGAATGTTCTTTAGAGTGGTGGTTTTGCTTTGCAGCAAGGTGCGCATGAATCACACTTTCTGTTGCAATTGCTTCGTGGATGTCATTCTGGGCCTTTTGGCAGAGATCATTAAGTGCAAGCATTAGAAATGGATCCTCAATAAGAACTCCAACCTACAACAATCATTTTCACATTTTTTTATTAGCTTTCTTCTATCCAGAAATTGGAGTTGCATTTTAAGAATCCATCGATCAATCAATCACTTTTGTATGAGTTCATAATAGCAAATATGTTTTTACAAAGAAAATCTGATTCCAGAGTTTGATTCCACATTTCTAACAGTGCAAAACAATTTACAGTCTCTAGCTTTGGGCAAGTATTTAGCATCAAAGTGGAGTCCATCATTTTCCAGATTCTAGAACATCAAAATTTGAAATATTTAAATAGTCCATGACTGAGATAAGGCGAGGGACATAGTTCTTCAATGCAGAACAATAAGGCGGCACTGAAAAAGGTAGCAGTAGTAGCATCTGTCGTTGCTATTATGGCTAAGACTGATATGGCTGTGGCTTCTGCAGTAACACTTATTGTTGCTCAGTGTGTTGAAGCTGCTGAAGCAATGGGAGCTGAAAGAGAACACCTTGCTTCTGTTGTTAGTTCTGCTGTCAATGTGAGATCTCATGATGATATTACTACTCTAACCGCTGCAGCTGCCACAGGTAGAGTTTTGTTCATTCAGCACCATTGCTTCATTTCAAGTTTAATTTCAAATGAATTACTTGAAATTGAACTTTGCAGCTCTAAGAGGGGCAGCAACATTGAAATCAAGAGCATTGAAAGAGATGTGGAATATTAGCGCCTTGACGCCGCTAGAGAAAAGCATAGGAATTGGAATATGCGGTGGTAAAGCGAATAATAACAGTAGCTCCAGCACTGGTGATAGTGGTGGAAAGATTATCAATGCAGATAATTTTTTAAGTGCTTGCATCCAAGAACTTCTTGCTTGAGGAACCAAATTACTCAAACGCACCCGCAAAGGTAGTAATTTTAACAAGTCTAGTTTCAAATCTTTTTCATTTTCTAAATGATTAACACTCTATTTGGTTATATCTGCAGGTGATCTTCACTGGAAAATAGTTTCTGTTTATATACATCGAACTGATGCAGGTGGCTGGAATTGAACCTAATATTGTCAGTTATAACTGCTTGTCTCTCCTAAATTCGAAAGTTTATTCGATAATACTTAGGTTAAAATATTGCAAAGCTTGAAAAAATTAGGGATTCACTTATAATTAGTCAACAATGGTAGAAACTAAATTATCTTCAAATTCAAATCCCTAATTTTACAATTTACAACACAAAGCAATAATCTGAGAAAAGAAAGATTACCAGATACCAATGAAGAGAAGGGTGACGGTGGTGAGCTGATAAAGGGCTGAGTTTGACGGAGAATGGATTTTCTTTGTTCTTTCTTTCCCGTGTTTCCTCTTTCTATTCGAGTGGTGAATCAAAGGTGAATCTGAATTGACTGTGTTTCCTCTTTCCAGTGGTGAATCGATGAATGAAGGCGAGCTGGAGGAGTGAGGTTGAAGGGTTTTCTGGTTCGGAGATATGGGTTGGTGATGGTGAAAAGAATGATGAAGGAGAAGTCTGAAGATGAAAACGGTGGGGGATGGTTTGACGGCAAAAAAATGAGAGGAAAGGGTCGGCGACGAAAATGGATGATGAAGATGGTGATGGCCAAGGGTGAAGGGTCTTCTCTATTTTGTGAAGAAGAGGGTTCCGATTGCGAGTGAGGGAGAGGAAAAGAGATGTTGACGATGGATCAGGGAGCCAACGGGAAAGAAGATTTTAGGATATTCTCCGTGAAAATGAACAGTCCCCTATTTTAGTGAAGTTTAATAGCGTTTTTAAGAAAAGCATTATCTTAGTGAAGTTTAATAGCGCCTCTGACGTTCGCTGTTTGAACTCTTGCAATAAAAGAGAGCCCTAAGCCACAAAAACACCTTGATCCGAAGTATCGAGAATAAATGTTATGATACGTGGAAATACAAAATGCAGAGAAACATAAGCCAGTAGGTCAAGAAATTTTGAGGCAAATTTCTGGGTGCTACACTATCTTGAGAAACAAGTGTGATTTGTGTTGAGAGACAAGTGTGAGTTCTAAGTCCCACATTACTTAGAAAAGTGGAGGTTGAACACTTTATAAGTGAGAGGACCCATACACCTATCACCTTAAGGCTTTGCGTGAATATGTGGTGTCTCTTTCACTTATTTAGGTGAGTCCTTAATCTTTAGGTAAGTGTTTGACCTAATGTGAATGCTTCCCCCTCCTGATGACCCATCAGTGGTATCAGAGCCCAATTCGAGTAAGGGATTGCCTCCTTGTGTCGAAAATCTTCCTGACATGGTGGTCAGCCGGCGCGTCCTATTTGAAGTGCCCTTGACGGGTGTCTCTCAATGGCGGTACAAGTATTTGAATGGAAGTTCAACGGGTGTCTCTCAATGGCGGTACAAGTATTTGGATGAAAGAACGAAAATCTTCCTGACATGGTGGTCAGCCGGCGCGTCCTATTGAAGTGCCCTTGACGGGTGTCTCTCAATGGCGGTACAAGTATTTGGATGGAAGTTCAACGGGTGTCTCTCAATGGCGGTACAAGTATTTGGATGAAAGAACTTCCATTTAAGGGGGAGATTGTTAGGGAAAATGTGAGGGGAGCATAGAGCATGGACTCACACTTGAGGGGGAGATTGTTTGGTGGGGAAAATGTGAGGGGAGCATAGAGCATGGACTCACACTTGAGGGGGAGATTGTTTGGGGAAAATGTGAGGGGAGCATAGAGCATGGACTCACACTTGAGGGGGAGATTGTTGGGGAAAATGTGAGCCCTTGACGAGCATAGAGCATGGACTCACACTTGAGGGGGAGATTGTTTGGGGAAAATGTGAGGGGAGCATAGAGCATGGACTCACACTTGAGGGGGAGATTGTTGGGGAAAATGTGAGCCCTTGACGAGATAAGGGTGTCGAAAATGTGAGGAGCATAGAGCATGGACTCACACTTGAGGGGGAGATTGTTGGGGAAAATGTGAGCCCTTGACGAGATAAGGGTGTCGAAAATGTGAGCCCTTGACGAGATAAGGGTGTCTCTCAATGGCGGTACAAGTATTTGGATGTCGAAAATGTGAGGAGCATAGAGCATGGACTCACACTTGAGGGGGAGATTGTTGGGGAAAATGTGAGCCCTTGACGAGATAAGGGTGTCGAAAATGTGAGCCCTTGACGAGATAAGGGTGTCTCTCAATGGCGGTACAAGTATTTGGATGAAAGAACTTCCATTTAAGGGGGAGATTGTTGGGGAAAATGTGAGGGGGGGAGGATAGAGCATGGACTCACACTTGAGGGGGAGATTGTTGGGGAAAATGTGAGTTGTATGGAGAAATAAGTGTGAGTTCTAAGTAAGAGGAACCAAACACATAACGCCTTGAGGTTTTTAGTGAATATGTGGTGTCTCTCTCACTTGTTTGGGTGAGTGTTTGACCTAATGTGTATGTTTCCTTCTCATGATGACCCAACAGTTGTATTAGAGCCCGGTTCTCAAGAGTGATTTGTGTTGAGAAACAAGTGTGAGTTCTAAGTCCCACATTGCTTAGAAAAGTGGAGGTTGAACACTTTATAAGTCATAGGACCCATGCACCTATCACCTTATAGTTTTGGGTAAACATGTGGTGTCTCTGTCACTTGCTTTGATGAATCTTTGAACTTTAGGTAAGTGTTTGACCCAATGTGAATGCTTCCCTATCATGAAGACCCACCAAATCTCTTTGTGTTCATTCATAACCATAAGCTTGTTGTCCTATTACATAAGGGGGCAAATTTTGGGTCTATTTTGTATTTGAACTATCTTTCACTATGATAATTTAAAGACAAGAGTTCTTCATATCTATTGGTTAAAGATGTTTTAATAGGGGTAGCTGTTATACCCTTAAATTTACCCATGTTTTTCATTCGCATCAGTATAGCATAATCATTTTATTTTTTCATGCATTATTTCACTCAAAAGCATTTGTCAAGGTTCAGATGAAAAGTCAAGAGCTCTGACATTTCATATGGTCTTAATGACATTTATTTAGTCATTTTGTTTGGTTAATAAGTCAAAAGGCTTGATTTCTTAGTCATCGTGCGCTGTTCAGTCTATTGCATCGTGTTTTATAGGTTCAAAGGGTGACAATCAAGAGTGTTGTCGTCATCTGAATCTTCGTAGGGTTTAATTGTAATAAAGAAGTAAATGATCCAAGGGAGATTTATTTGAATCTAATTGTCTATTCATAATTATTCAATAAGTAATTTAATGTATTTACTAGACATTTGCATTTTTAACTTATCATAGCATGCATTCAGTTCCATATAATGTTTAAAATATCATCTAGAATAAATTTTCAGATCTACAAACAGACTATTCGAACTGCTTCTCAACAGTATGCAAAATTAGCCGGTCAAAATATTCAAAATCGAGCTTGCAGACGTCAGTATTCTTAATCTACAGTTCGCGTAGTTTAACCTGGTGTGCTTATTTTAATTTTTTTGACTACTTTTTCGATCGCATTTTTGTCCGCCTGTGCTTTTTAACCAATCAAAAAATTTATGTGTGTGTGAGTTATCTTAGTATTTTTGGATTTACTTGGCGAAAGTTCTTGTTATGGGAAGAGATCAATGTTCATCAACGATAACCTCGTTAATTCCTTTTGGCTCAATTTATGAAACGAAGGCCACAAAGTTACATACCTTGATAAGGGAGTGTCGAGTAGCAACTTCCTTGGAAATATCTCCAATGACATTCTGAATAGGATGGTGTTTGGTTGTCCTCCGTTCCCTTGGAATATCTTGATAATCTACACGAGTTTCCTTATTCAAATCTTGAATTTGTTCTTGATTTGAAACTTGATCTTAACTTTGTTCTACTTCTTGATCCTTTTCTAAGTTAGTCTTTTTCCAAAATACATTCACAATTAACAACCTTTACTTTTACAAGTTTTGGGTTATTTCATCAAAAGTAATGTGAACAAATTCTTCTGTAGTCATGGTTCCTTTGTTAAAGCCTCTAAAAGCTTTCCTTGAAGTGAAATATCATATGAATATACTTTCTTCTGCTTTTGTGTCATATTTTCTGAGGTTATCCTTCATGTTGTTAAGGATAAAACACTTGCATCCAAAGATATGTAAATGAGAAATATTTGGCTTTCTTCTTTTATATATCTCATTGTGCGCCCGTTTTAGAATTTGTCTTATTAATACACAATTCATAACATAGGAAGATTGTTTCGTGCATCCTCCCAAAAATATTTTTGAAAATACAATATTTAAGAAAACGGTTGGAAATATAACATATTTTAAAATATGTTTGTAGGCGAAAGTAGATTGCACCCAAAGTATTCTTATGAATGATATATACACAATGCTTAATCAATATAAAATTTAAAAGTGGATTAATAAGTTAGTAAAATAACTTACTGATATATAAAATTTTAAAATTTTTACATGAAAATGTAAAATGTTCTTATCTTTTCGTCTAAATCATTTTGACTTTACATTGAATTAAATAATACACTAAATTTCTACGTAGGAATGAATGTGCTATATATGATACTTTAGATTGGCCTGATTGTCGTCTAGATCAGTAGATTTTCATGTACGAATAAAAGTGTTATATATAATGATTTAGACAGGCAGGATTATGGTTTAGATCACTCAATTCAAAAACTCTCATTTTTCATGGTTGGTGATAATTTCCGGTGTTTAATGCTTCTCTTTTATCATATCTTAGTCTGAATATTCATATCTTATAGATTGTATTTTAAATCTAATATTATAGATTAGTTAAAGAAAAAGATAAATTGCAAATTCATTATAACAATGTAGATTGTTCACATATTCTCAATTAGTTAATTTTTTTTGGATTAAAATATTTTATAAAAAAATTTTGATTATATAATTTAATTCTTTTCTT